GATGATCCAGAAGTGGTTTGCCATTGCCTTCTTCTGTGTGTGAATGGAGTAATTGTTGGGAAGCCCCCGGAGGAAAACTCCGTGTTGCCTAGACCATGGCCTTGCCCAACACAAGTTATAAATCCGGGCACCGCCGGGAATCGAACCCGAGACCCCAGGATTACAAGGCCAGCGGACAAAGGTTTTAGCATCCCCTGCTTTGGTTTTGTTTACACAGGCGCGAAAATCTTTGTAAAACGTCAATTTGGAAGACCATTATGTAGATGGGGATACCATTGAGATAAACCTCATGGAGAATTGTTGAGGATTACCTCCAGTTGCGGGTCTCTGTGTTAACGATGTTTAACCTTAAGGTTATTCTATAATCTATAATTCTGCGCGGACAGACGGACGCGTTTTATCGATTCACTTTCATTTCACGCGATTTATGCTTAATAATTTTATTTCGCTCTGAATTCCAGAAGATTACATCTCAACACAGAGAGTTTGCAAGCCGGATGTTCGCCTACATCACTGTGAAATTGTATCATTTACATTGTCATTGCCCATTCTTGTATATTATAAAAGAATCGTCTGTAATATATTTCCCTTTTGTTCCTTTCATTGCCTTGTTCTTTTGTCTGTCCACTACTCTCGAATGTCATTGACTTTCTCTAAGCCTTACATATTTTAACACTTTAACTGCCACCTACGACTAACAACGTCAGAGCTAAAACATAGTGGCTTCTCCAAGCTGTGCCATCGAACTGTTACAAAGCGTACACAGAGCAGAGTACGAGTTTTTAATATGAGTAGACCCGTGTATCTGATATTCATTTCCTTAATGTCCGTTTTGCTGTTATCCTCCCATCTACGTCTAGATCTTCTGAATGGTCTCTTCCCTTCTGTTCGCGAATATGAAACAAGTAAGAATCTGAATGGTCTCTTCCCTTCTGTTCGCAAATATGAAACTAGTAAGAATTTAGGTTTTCACGGCGTTGAGTCTAAAGATGGCTGTCTTCTGGGTTGTAGCGCGTTGTAGTCTGGTAGACGTTTACAGACGTTTCAGAGGTCGTTGCTTCTTCCTTCATCAGGGCGATCATTGCAACAAACCAGAAGACAGTGATCTTCATAAAACAAGTAGGCTACGAAACATCCAGGAGTTAAGTAAATTGCCTTTGGTGGTCAGTAATGTTAGTGAGTCAGAAGTTGTTTTAATTACAACTTATCAGTGAGTCGCTGATATTTATTGCTTTATTTTATTATTTGCGAAAATATGTTGTAGGGCGTGCTCTGGGTTTCTACTGACACAAAGAAACCAGGTTGTCACCCCTTTCTTTATAAACAAGATATTGTCGAGGGTTGGTTCACAGTGAGTGGCTTGTTACATCACTTTATTTACTTTACTTTAAGTTGAAGACATACAACGGGCTCTGGGAGGGATGCGTGGACAAAAAGCCCATCATCTGTGACAAAACTGCAGTGTTGATCGAATTAAAGAGAGGAGCATGAGAAGCAAAGTGGCTTTAGTACAAAGAACTTAGGAACAATGCCTGTGTTACACTGGGGGCAGGAAGAGCTGTCACTTACGTGTGCCATAACACATAAAAAAGTTAAGACAGTAGAATTGTTTAGTGTATGTTTATATTCTTAGTGTACCGCTATGTAAAATCCAATAACGCTCGCTCAGTTAATTAAGATAATTTCTGACCATTGCTGTGTTCACAAGAGCCAACCACTAGTCCCTACCCCGAACCAGATTTATCCAACCCACACCTTCATATTATATTTTCTAATATCTATTTTAATTTTATTCTCCTATATACATCTAGATAGCCACGGTGGTCTAGCGGTTAGAACGCTGGCCTTGTAATCCTGGGGTCTCGGGTTCGATTCCCGGCGGTGCCCGAATTTATAACTTGTGTTGGGCAAGGCCGTGGTCTAGGCAACACGGAGTTTTCCTCCGTGGCATCCCAACAATTACTCCATTCACACACAGAAGAAGGCAATGGCAAACCACTTCTGGATCATCTGCCAAGAACGTATATGAACAGGTCCCAGTCCGAGAAAAGGATGGAAGAATCCTGTTCATATGGACCTGTCGTCAGACAGAACACTAAATAAAATAAATAAAATACATCTAGGTCTCCCAAGTGAAGTCTTTCGTTCAGGTTTTTCTATACAAAATTCTGTGTACATTTTGCATCTGTCCCATGCGTGCTACACGTCCTTCCTCATCGTCATCGATTTTATTATCCATATATTTGGTATTTCCAGATGAGATAATATTCAGTGATATCTGAGGCTTTCACGGCAGAGAGTGTGAACACGGCCATCTGTTGGATGTCGCGTCGTGGAGTCCGATAGATATTGAAAAAGTTTTCGGAGAACCTTGGTGTCTCTGTCTTCAGGGTGACGAGACATCGAGATAAAAGTCGTTAAATAAACCAAGACTATGAAAAATTGTAAAATGCGTCAGTGAACAGCCACGGCTTTGATAGTCGCCGGGCACCGGT